CAGGAAATCTGGACATCACAAGACAATGGAAATATGTCCCACCGCTTTGGGGAAACAGTTATTTAAAACCAGAATTCTGTGCCCAACCAAACCATCATAAAGTGGAAAGGTAAAGTGGCTGTGTTCTCAGTCACATGCGAGATCTTAAAACGTAAAACCACCAACATATATGAAAAAGTCTGATACCTCACCACAGCAAGATGAAAACAGAAAAAACGCCGAGTATAGCTTGATAGGGGACAAAGGAAGGCACCTGTGTGTGTCACAGAAGAGGAGGGAGCTCACAGACCCGGTCGTGGGTCCTGAAACTCCCAACACCTGCTCAGGGAGACACAGGTGCCTGGAAGGCAGGGGGCCCTCGGTGTTCTGTGAACCGGTCCTCTGTACCACTCATATTTCGTAAAATGTGCAAGTTTCACTTTATAGTTACGTTTTTAAAGGCTTACATGTAATTTAGAAAATACTTAAAGCGTCCCATACACCCACCAGAATGGTCATCATCCAAAAGTCCACAAATGATAAGTGCTGGAGAGGCTGTGGAGAACAGGGGACCCTCCTCCCCTGCGGCTGGGAATGTAGTCTGGTGCAGTCATTTTGGAGGACAGTATGGAGATTCTTCAAAACACTAAAAACAGACTTACCCTATGAACCAGCAATCCCACTCCTGGGCATATTATCTGGAGGAAACTCGAATTTGAAAAGACACCTGCACCCCAATGTTCATAGCAGCACTATTTACAATAGTCAAGACATGGAAACAACCTAAATGTCCACCCACAGATGACTGGATAAAGAAGTTGTGATATATGTATACAGTGGAATACTACTTAGCCATAAAAAAGAATAAAATAATTCACTTGCAGCAACCTGGATGGACCTGGAGATCATCACTGTAAGTGAAGTCAGCCAGAAAGAGAAAGAAAAATACCATATGATATCACTCATATGTGGAATCTAAAAAACGAAAAGGGGGACACATATGAACTCATCTACAAAACAGAAACAGACTCACAGACATAGTAAATAATCCTATGGTTACTGGCGGGGAAAGAGGTGGGAAAGGATAAATTTGGTAGTTTGAGATTTGCAAATATTAACCACTATATATAAAAACAGATTAAAAATGAGTTTCTTCTCTATAGCACAGGAAACTATATTTGGTACCTTGTAATAACCTTTAATGAAAAAGAATATGAAAATGAATCTATGTATGTATACGTATGACTGAAACAGATGCTGTACACCAGAAATTGACGCACTGTAACTGACTATATTTCAATTTTTAAAAAATTAAAATGAAGCACCCCACACACAGGAGAGATGGAACCACAATTCATCACTTCGGAGAAGTGTTCACCTCTAGGCCTCAGCTCAGCATAACCTTGCCTCAAATGTTTTCCATAACTTTTTTTG